TTTTTGTTTGTTTGTTCTACTTAATACTTTTGGTTGAACACTGTAATCAATACACAGTTATTCTCAAGAGTTGAAACTTAACTGAAAAGTGATCTCTGTTAAATATAAGAGTGGGAATAAGAGAGGGAAGAGATGTGCAATTCGGGACATGCTCAAGCTGACTTACCTCAAACGGTAGAGTTAGAAACATACCAGGGGATTCCAATTCAATCCCATCAAGGTGGCATGTACCAATGCCATCTCAATAGTCCCAGTGAGCAATTTCTGTTCACAATTGATCATAATGATAGGACTAAGAACCAAAGGGATCACATAAACAAGAATAGTGTCTGCAAATACTAGCTGATAGAATAAAAAAGGGAGATAATGATCCAACATGGAAAGTGAGATACACAGCAGACCCATAGAATGGCAGATGTCCTAAACAGCACTCTGGCCTCAGAATCAGCCCTTAAGGCATTCAGATCTGGCTGAAGAGCCCATGAGAGTATTACAGGCATGGAGAGCCAAGACACTCTGGAAAAAAAACTAAATGAAAGATCTCCGCAAGTGAGATCCCAGTGGAAAGAACGGGTCATCAAAGAAGGAGCTACCTTTCTCTGAAGGGAGGAGAGAACTTCCACTTTGACTATGGCCTTGTCTAAATATGATCAGAGTCAGTGAACTCAGGGGGCTTCCATAGCCTTGGCAACTCATGACAAGAGCCTAGGGTGATTACTGATGCCATAAACAAGAGTGTCAATTTGTTAAGTCAACAACAGGAGTCCCTGTGCACTTACTCCTCATGTAGGATCTCTGTCCTTAGTGTGCTGTACATTGAGATTTAATGCTATAACTAGTACTCAAACAGTATTTTTCACTTTATGTTTCTGTGTGGGAGCAAACTGTTGAAATCTTTACTTAATGTATGCTAAACTGATCTTCTGTATATAAAGAGAATCGAAAATGAATCTTGATGTGAATGGAAGGGGAGAGGGAGTGGGAAAGGGGAGGGTTGCGGGTGGGAGGGACGGTATGGGGGGGAAGCCATTGTAATCCATAAGCTGTACTTTGGAAATCTATATTCATTAAATAAAAGTTATAAAAAAAGAAAAAAAGCTCATTTTTCCATTCAGGATAGGCTATTGAGCTCAAGCTTCACCTCCCAACCCTGCTAAGACTTAGCAAAATAAAGTCTAGAAATAACAAAAATAAAAATATCATAATAGAGAAGGTGATACATGTGTCTTTGCAGAGGCCTTCGTTAGTAAAATGGCACCGTCTTACTTGTGGCATCATCTATGCCCCAGACACCATCTTACGCCCTGGCCCCCGCGGCCACATTGCATTGTAAGCTTCGGCCCTAAACCTCACGGTCCAATCACCAGTGTCAACTCCACCCCCACCCTAATGGGATTTGCTACTCCTACTTCCCTATCTGGCCCCAGACAAAGGGATATTAGGCCCTGTTTCCCGGACATGTGTTCTCTTTTTGCTTCTTCACCCCTTCCCTCTGGTCTGCTGGGTTTCCCCCAGTAAACCCTTTCCCTTACTCCATTGTTTGGTGTGTTTTGTGGTGGCCTTACAGCTTGCAGCTTGAAAGACTGTAATTCTAAATGCTGTGTTAAATTTCCCTTAATGTTGCACACTTGGGTAAGTAAAGTATAAGTTTGACTGAAATGCTCACATTTTAATTAAATACTTGAAGCAACAATATTGAAATTTCTTTCAGTAAGAATACTACACAGGCTGACACCAGAGAATGTAGTATAAGATAGTGATATCACATCTACTCTTTCCTGCTGACCTCTCAGTTTCTCTCAGGCAGATGGCCTTTTTTTATTACGTTAACACATTATTTCAGAGAATAATTGAAACCCAATATTTAGTACATTCTGATGCCAAGATCCCGGATTTGATAAATGTGAATTAGATGGCATGTCAAAGAAAACTTACCCTGGGCAGAGTTAAAACAGGCAAGGAAGATTCCATTCAAGACTACTGCAGTGGGGACAGAGACGGTACCCAAGTCCACTGAAACTGAAAAGATGGAGAGTGGGGAGAGTGGTTTTTGTTTTTTTTTTTTTAGAGGTAGAGTTACAGACAGTGAGAGGGAGAGACAGAGAGAGAGGTCTTCCTTCCCTTTTTCACTCCCCAGATGGCTGCAAAGGCCGGAGCTGCGCCAATCCAAAGCCAGGAGCCAGGTGTTTCTTCCTGGTCTCCCATGCGGGTGCAGGGGCCCAAGCACTTGGTCCATCTTCTACTGCTTTCCCAGGCCGGAGCAGAGATTGGAAGAGGGGCAGCAGAGACTACAACTGGCACCCATATGGGATGCCGGTGCCCCAGGCAGAGGATTAACCTACACCCCCATCCCCCCTCCCCGGAACCAGCCCCAAAGGAGAGTTTTTAAGCTCTGAGGTCAATCTGTGTGAAAGTATTAAAAGATGTTGGGGGCCAACTGTGTTAACTAATAGGTTCTCAGAGCTTGGCTCCTATCTGCCCACATAGACTGGGAGATAGGGGTTCTTTCTTGATTGATGATTGCGTTTCCAAGGAATGGCTCCCAGGTCCTGGAAAGAGACATTCTTGTGCTGCAGATTTACATCACAAAGCAGCCAAGAAAGTATTTACAACAGCAGGTTTTTCTAAAGCTGATTCTCTAAGGGAGGTCGGGGACCTAGGGTAAGGAAGAAGCTGATCTAATTCCCATGAAGGGGAGGAGCGTGTAAGGCCATCTTGGCCCAGCCTGTGTTCATAGCCTCACTAACGCTTGCTCGGAAGCCTCCTGGGCAAGCCTGCCCTGAAGAGGTTGCGAGCCAAATGTAGGAAAAAAATATTTTTCTAGGTTTATTTCTTCAGGCGCATTAGTGATTTGGCTAATGGCTAGAGACTAGAAAGATTTTGCAGCATTTCCACTGACTGAAGCAAGGCTTCGAAACTCTCACTGGACTCCGTTAAAACGGAGATTAAAAATTGTTGCTTTCCACTTCACAAAATGTTTTCAAGGATTAACAAGTAATGCTTATAAAGCCTTTTCAGCTTTTTTTTTTAATGTTTAGGAAATGGGATTTAAGCATAAAATATGATTCCTATAAATTACAGATGAAAATATAATCAGCAAGTTTGCAAAGAGTCAAAGTAAATTAAATCTGAAGAAGAAAGAATCTTAAATATTCTTTTATAAAGACAATATTTGTACTAGAGCTTCATGACAAAGGATTTCTTTGAGGTTATAAATGAAGAAACATAATAAGCTAAGCATTGCATAAATAATAATGGAAGAGTAGCATTGTCCTAGAGCATTCAAATCAGTTTTTCAAAAACTAATTTTTCTCTTTCCGCAACCTTGATGAAAACTTCCTACATTTTAAAACTTCAAATTTATAGAAATGTAGAAGAAAATAAAATCCACAATAGTCTTGTCACCTGGGAAAACAACAACTCGTGAATGCAATTACTTATTATCTCTTTTTTCTGAAAATATTTCTCTTGGAATTCTAAACATATGACATGATTTTATATTAGTATTCTATAAAGTGGTGTATGTTGGTTTTTATCTCAGCATAAAATTTGAAATTAGAACTTTCAAGAATCTCACTAGGCAGAAATAAGAACTAGTAATATTTTTATTATTTCCTTAGACTTTTTTCACTAGGTCAATATTGCTTTCTTGAAACCATGTGTAATATCTCCCTCCCCTCTCACCCACAAAACTGGGCTTATTTTCCCTTAAATGTTCCTTTCTAAATCTGAAATGAGCAGATTTAAATTTCACAGAGTCCCTTAATTAATACAGAATCTATTCCTAGCACAAATACTCTTGCACACACCACCTTTCATGGACTTCTTTAAAAATGTCATGTTTAAAGAAAGTTTATGGGCTTAAGTGGACTATGATAGGATGACAAACTTTGCCATAAAAATCAAACCTTGCCATCGGTTTGCTAACTACTAATTAAAAGGATAAACCGGGTCATTTAGTATGTATTGAATGATGCAGAAAGTCATCAGTTAAGGTCTTTAGTGATCAAAATGGCCTTGATACTGTTCTACACAACTTTTGTGTGAGAGGTAGAAATAGTAGTGTATTCACTAAGTCTATTGTACATCATGGTGGCAGTCTGTGATGCCTTAATGAGAACTGGAAAATGACATTCTCCCTGGGTAAATACATTAGAAAGCACTTGGGAAAAAATACTTGAAATTCTGACCAAGAAAAGTCACCCCTTAGTCTTTCTCTAGGCAGACACAGCCCTTGGCTCCTTGTGAATCTCCAGGAACCAAATTTCAGTCCTTTGGTGCCTGCTCAGTGACATTTATGTAGTCACAACTTCTCTATGCTACATAGAAGCCTTATTATATCAACATAAATATATAAATATTTACATTAATCTACCTGTTTTTTATTCATGTTGATATACTTAAAGTCAGAACCAAATTATTTTCAGTGATCTTCAAACCAAACAAGAGATTGTATCTTAACTATAGAGTCAATCATAGGATTCAGTGTCCAAGGTATAAGAAACACTTTCCTGGTAGAGGGAAAAGAACAGAAGTGTGCAAGGAATGATTGAGTAAAATACTGTAGGCTAAGATTTGAATCCAGAAGACAAAATCACCTGACCTCTTAATCTGACAAAAAAATTCTAATTGTATCAAGTAAAAGAACAGATTCAATTGAGCTTTATATCTTCGTATTTAACTTACTGATTTTTTACCAACCCTTCCTCAGATTTGGTTTTCAAATATACCATCCTCTATTTGTCACTATGCACCTCAAGCTACAGAGAAGCAGTGTAAGGTACACCTGAGTTTTGGGACATTATAGATAAAAATCATTTATTCTGCCTTGGTGAGGGCTTAATATTTGTCTTAATCTTTCCTAAAAATTTGTAGTGGAACAGGCTTTAGATATCGATCCATTTCCCTTTGATATTTAATCTATAGGAAGTCCTTTAAGTTTGTATTCTCAGATATTTTATTTCTTTCAGAGGATTTTTTGTTGTTGTTGTTAGAACAACTCAGCAAAATAAAATTCCGGTTTATTGTTGGACAACATTGTTTCACACATACATCAAACAGGCCAAAAAAAATAAACAGCAACTTCATAGACAAAAAAAGGAAAAAAAGAAACCTTTTATCTTTGGCCTTTTTAACCATCTCATACAAACCAACTACTTATAGTACAGCTAAGTACATACACAAAAAAAGTTACTGGAATGCTCGGAATAAGATTGTTTTTTTGTTGTCGTTTTTGCTTTTTTTACAAGGTTTTTTTTCTCCTTTGAGATTAGAATGAACATGGTCACACCACAAGTAAAGTCAGAAGTAGGACAGAGGACGCTCGAAGGCTGGTCTGGTCATCCGAGATCATTAAAAATGGCTGACCCCTAACAATATGTACAAAAATATAAAATGTAAATAAAAAATACAAACAAATTTTCCTTTTTAAAGTACTTTTAAGAAAGAAAGCAGGGCCTGGAGTTTGGTGCTGTCCCTCCCCTGTTGCGAATTCACTGGGTTTGTGGGCGTGAGCACTGCGTCCGCAGGGGCGCGGGCGGCCTCTACTCGGAGGTGACCACGTTGGGGGAGACGGGAGTGAGGGTGGAAGGTCACAGCGGCCTCGGGTTCACGGGTGCCTTCTGCCTTGCGGTCTAGTCATCCTCGTCGGTCTTCTGCTTCTTGGTGTCCACGTCGTCCTCCTCGTCATCCTCAGCTGCCCGCTTGCCTGTAGCTGCCTCGGCCTCCTCGTCTTCGTCTCCGTCCTCTTCCTCACCATCGCCCTCTTCCTCCTCCTCTTCCTCCTCGCCACCTTCCTCCTCTTCCTCGTCTACCTGGTTGTCCGCCTCCTGCTCCCCGTTCTCCTCAGAGGATTTTTTTAAATGGTGTTCTCAAATATTGCTTTTAGTCCAACTCTAATCCAGAAACACTTTTAATTTCTAGATCTGATATTCGTTCTCTATTAATCAGCTATTATTGTCTCTGTCATATTAATCTCTCTATATTTTGCCTTTACATTCTTGGACAACTTCACTTTAGTTTTCCATGAATTTTATTTCTGACAAAGTCATTCTACAATGTACTATCTCAATGCAGGATTGATTGCAAATTATTTTTGTTTCTTTGCAAACTTTCCTTTATTAATCATCCTCTTTCTTCCTCATTTTTTTCAACTCTTCACCAAAACTATTTTCTCTCCTTCCAATACACAAGTGAAGAATCATTAATATTATTGGTGCTGTCTTTCTAGTTTCTATGTGAATTCTGAAAGTAAATCATTTCAGCAGCATCTTCTGTAACTAGTTAAGATGATACAACCATTATCTAATTCTGCAATTTTGTTAACGCTGTTGCTGTTTTTATAGTCTCAAAGTGCTCTTTGTTTGCTTGTTTCTGGAACATATATACTCATATGTATATGTAAAGAACTCCTTCCAATCTCTGCATTTGCCAGCAAATGGGATGAAGAATTTGTGCTGCCAGTGATCAGTATCAGTGTAGGTGCTTATGGAACATCCTTTTCTTTGACCTAAAGCCAGAAGACAAATGAAAGCACCCAGATTCTTTCTCAGTTCTCAGTGTCTAATAAGCATGCAAAGTATAATTTCTTAGGCCTATTTTCCAGGTATTTAAGACTCTGAAATTATGAGGTATGTGAACCTTGGAGCCCCAGGATACATGCTACCAAGATCTTTGCTATGGCAGCCCCTACTTGTAGCATCACATTTGCGGTGGTTATAGCTGCCACTGCGCTTAACAAATCACTGGCCTTCCTCACTTCCACTATGTTCAGTTTCTGAAATTTATCTCCAAGTCCAGCTATGGAACAGAGAACCTGGTTAACTTACAACACAGCATCCCTGCCACTGGCAGCAGTTTGGCCAGTTTGGGACATGACCCAAACCTATTTTATGAATGTAGAAGCTAACAATTGGAAAGGGAAAGGATATGTCTGGCATCTACTAGGTAAGAGAGCTGTTCTCTTTATTAGGCAAAGCCCCAATTTTTTTTTTTTTTTTTCTCTATCCACTTCTATTGCAATTCTTGTTGGAAAAATTGGAGTGAAGCAATCAGTTGCCTGTCAAAACTCATTTTTTGGATTGTTGTGAATGGTGATCTTTTCTAAAAATTGGTGTTTTACTCCTCTGCTTGTTCCTAATCACCAGTCTTATCATTGCTCTAGTCAAGCTTGCACGAAAATCCTCAGTTAAGTGTCCTTGCTGTTTGCAAGGCTTGCTGATGTTGTCTGAGATTCTTCTAGGGTCAAACGATAATCTACTAAACAGAATCCTTCATGACAGAGGCCCAGGACTGTCAGCAGTTTCATAAATAAATAAGTCAATCACCAAAGGTTATTTCTAACCCTTTTTTAAACCTGGCATTCACTTAATAATTGGATTACCAACAAAGCTAATTTAACAGAGGAAATGTGCACACGCACATGCCCTCATGAACACATATGCATCATTTGTGGACATGCCTGTCTTCATGCATTAACATGCAGTGCTATCATGTATGAAATGCACGTGCATGGCATACATACGTATTGCATAGCCTCACATATGACTATATGCATGCCCTCATGCATAAATATAAACACAAACTCATGTAGGGACACGTGTATGCCTTCACATTTGAACACATTCATTGTCATTAAGAGACCTGAACCCTTGAGCAGATACTTCATATATGCATGATACTCCATCAGGAAAGCTTGCATGAAAAATAAAATGATTCAGGGGGCCGGCGCCATGGCGCAGCAGGTTAATCCTCGGCCTGCGGCACTGGCATCCTATATTGGTGCTGGTTCTAGTCCCGGTTGTTCCTTTTCCAGTCCAGCTCTCTGCTGTGGCCTGGGAGGGCAGTGGAGGATGGCCCAAGTGCTTGGGCCCCTGCACCTGTGTGGGAGACCAGGAAGAAACACCTGGCTCCTGGTGCTGGATTGGCGCAGTGCCAGCCGTTGAAGCCATTTGGGGAGTGAACCAATGGAAGGAAGACCTTTCTCTCTGTTTCTCTCTCTTACTGTCTGTATCTCTACCTGTCAAATAAATAAATAAAATCTTTAAAAAATAAAATAAAATAAAATAATTCAGAACAATCACACCACAACTAAGAAAACAGTTTAACATACGCATATCAAAGTTAGACGCCAGGTATGAGATATAACTGAAAGGAAAAGGAAAGAAAGACATGAAATGGCTATGTAGTAGGAAGAATGATGTGTTTGGTACTTTACACACATTCTTTGATTCATAATAATTTGGGAAGGAAGGTATCTGGGCTCAAATGAATTCAATTATTGATCCGTGAAATTTATCCGGTACCTACTATATACTCAGCAGTGAAATTGAGACTAGGAAAGGTAATTTATAGTTAGCTACTCATTGATATTGGCAAGTGTCAAATCTAACTGCATTGCCCATGTGTTTTCCACTAACACATCTAAAATGCAAGATTGATTCTTTTTCTTGTTATTTTTTTCCTAGAACATAATTCTCACAAAAGTTTTTGTGGAACAAGTCAAATAGAACTGGAGTATTATTTTACCTTGTAAAACTCTGAGTTTGTTTTTGAATGAAAGTTTCCATATGATTTTTCTATATCAGAAATGTTCAGTAGAACACAGGTTTAAAATACTAACTTGGGGAAATGGGGATGGTAGCAAAGTTTCTGAATCTATAGCTGTATCTCACCACCTTCCACACTAATAGAACTACTGAAAGAGTAGAAGGGCCAGTGCTATGGTGTAATGGGTAAAGCCGCCACCTGCAGTGCCAATATCCCAAATGGGCGCCAGTTCCAGTCCCAGTTGTTCCACTTGCAATCCAGTTTCTGCTATGACCTGGAAAAGCAGTAGAAGATGGTAAAGTCCTTAGGCCCCTGCACCCATGTGGGAGAACCAGAAGAAGCTCCTGGTTCCTGGCTTCAGATAGGTGCAGCTTAGCTGTTGTTGCCAATTGGGCAGTGAACCAGTGAGTGGAAAACCTCTCTCCCTCCCTCTCTCTGCCTCTCCTTCTCTCTGTGAATCTCTTTCAAGTAAAAATGAATAAATCTTTTAAAAAAGAAAGAGTAGAACCAGCAAGCCACAAAGTCGTTCAGCAAAAATGTAGCTACAAGGTGTCCCACAAACCTGCAAAGACAAACCAGGAGATATGAGCCACCAAAAACAAAAGTACTATATGGAATCAGCAACTGCACCAGAGGAAACAGAGCAGGACAAAGAGGCTTTCAGGGAGCCTTGGGACCAAGAAGATCAATAATACCTAAACAGAATCCTCAAGAGGCCAGGCTGAGAACAGCAGCCAAAAGTGGGAAGGAAGCTTATGGGCTCCAACCTGCAGCATGAGGCAATGGGATAACAACAAGGTCAGAGGGAGGTGAAATGGTCTCTGTTAACTAATCATCCAAAGCTTTCTTAGGACAAAGGTCCATGCTGGGGAGAAATTACTAGGAATAGAATTCAATAATATACATGTAAGGGGAGAGGAAAAGTACTTCAAGTCTTAGAAAGTAAAGGCCATGTTTCTAAACACTAGGAAAATAACAGAAAAAGGAATGCTGAGACTATCTGGTGAGAAGAGTTATACTGGCCCATCTCCTTCTCACACAAATAGAGGAAGAAATTTCCCTGATGAAAATAGAAGCAAAAATCCTCAACAAAATTCTAGCAAATCAAATTCAACAGCACATCAGAAAGATCATTCACCCAGACCAAGTGGGATTTATATCTGGTATGCAGGGATGGTTCAACATTCACAAATCAATCAATGTAATACACCACACTAACAAACTGAAGAACAAAAACTATGATTATCTCAACAGATACAGAGAAAGCATTTGATAAAATATAATGCACTTTCATGATGAAAACTCTAAGCAAACTGGGTATACAAGGGACATTCCTTAACACAATGAAGAAAATCTATGACAAACCCATAGCATTCCATTGAGATTTGCAAAGAGACAAAGATGCTCACTCTCATCACTGCCATTCAGTATAGTCATGGAAGATTTAGTCAGAGCCACTGGGCAAGAAAAAGAAATCAAAGGGATACAAACTAGGAAGGATGAAGTCAAACTATCCCTATTTGCAGATGACATGATTATATATAGAGAGGATCCAAAAAACTCCAGTAAGAGACTACTGGAACTCATAGAAGACTTTGGTAAAGTAGCAGGATATAAAATGAGTACACAAAAATCAAAAAGCCTTTATATACACAGATAATGCCATGGCTGAGAAAGAACTTCTAAGATCAATCCCATTCACAATAGCTGCAACAAAAATCATACACCTTGGAGCAAATTTAACCAAAGATATCAAAGATATCTATAATTAGAATTATAAAACATTAAAGGAAGAAATAGGAGAAGACACACAAAAAATGGAAAAACCTTCCATGTTCTTGGATTAGAAGAATCAATATCAGGGCTGGCGCTGTGGTGCAGCAGGTTAACGCCCTGGTCTGAAGTGCTGGCATCCCATATGGGTGCCAGTTCTAGTCCCGGCTGCTCCTCTTCTGATCCAGCTCTCTACCATGGCCTAGGAAAGCAGTAGAAGATGGGCCCAAGCGCTTGAGCTCCTGCACCCACGTGGAAGACCTGGAAGAAGCTCCTGGCTTCTAACTTCGGATTGGCACAGCTCCGGCCATTGCGGCCATCTGGGGAGTGAACCAGCAGATGGACGACCTCTCTCTCTGTCTCTACCTCTCACTGTAACTGTCTTTCAAATAAATTAAATAAGTCTTTAAGAAAATAAGAAGAATATTATCAAAATGTCCATACTTCTGAAAGCAATTTACAGATTCAATGCAATACCAATCAAAATACAAAGGACATTCTTCTCAGATCCAGAAAAAATGATGTTGAAATTCATATGGAAACACAGGA